TGTTCATGTGTTATCCGTGAAAGCGGTTGGTTGGTCTTTGATTCCACGATTTCAACATCTTATTTTGATTTGTTCTGCGGCACGATCTGATTTCCCCAGCATTTTTTCTATGGTGAAATATTGTAAATTTGAGTTTCTTGAGCTATTTTTTACACGTTCTTTTAACGGGTACTAGGCTGTCCTTTTAGAGGTTACTAACCTCATTTGAACTTATCAGTCCACTTATCAGCCATGATAAAATATTTTTCTCTCACAACAAAACAGCATCAGCCGACTTATCAGCCGCAAAAATCATCAGCTGAACACATGCCCATGTTTTTGTGGTCTTTAAAGTCTTGTGTTATCGTAGTGCATGTATGTGTCGCTTCATTTGCTTTTTTTTCAATACGATTTACAAGCTCTAGTGGACGCTTCAGTTTTTTATGGACTCTTATTTTATTTTAGTAGAGGTCCGATCCGTTTTAATTTGTGTTGAAGTTGTACTTGTCGCTAGTCACTAGCTACTTGTACCGACTTGTTTTGAGTGATTTTTTTTTTTTGTGCGACGACGAAGGAGGCTAGTAAGAGGGTGTATGTTTATTTAGTCGCTCCTAAAATTTATGTCATATCGAATGTTTAGATACTAATAAAAGCATTAAATATAGATTAATCATAAAATCAATTACATAGATGGAGGCTAATTTTCGAGACGATTTTTTAAGCCTAATTAATCTGTTATTAGCATATGTTTACTGTAGCACAACGTTATCAGATCATGGACTAATTAGGCTTAAAAGATTCGCCTCGTAAATTAGTCGTAAGTTATGCAATTAGTTTCGTAATTAGTCTATATTTAATACTACATACATGTCCAAATATTTGATGCGATAGGAATTTTAGGAGGAGGTGTAATTAACCAAACAGGCCCTAATTTGGTGATCCCGCCCATCGAGAAGCAGCCGGCAAGCGTCCGTTTTCCATGTACCGTCGACGTGTCGCTGTCGTGTTCCGCTCCACCGGGACTACAGGGCCAACCTGGACCCCGCGTGAGCCTCACGTGGACGCGCATGCATGCACAGTCGATCGACGCAGCACACCCCGGGCGGTCGCGTTCACTGTAACAAGCTAGCTGCCTAAGGCATCGTTCGGTTTGATAGGGAATGATGCCCTGGGAATGATAGACTAATTTATATAAACTTTGATGAGGTGGAACAAATCCTGGGCAAATCTTGTTAACCGAACGAGCCCTGAAGGCGATCGCGACGACGCGTCGGACGGACGGCAGGCGGCCTGGTCTAGCTAGCTAGCTCTAGCACGCACAGAGCGCAGGCGCATGCATCATGCAGCTCCCCTCTGCTAGCTAATTAATTAAGCTAGGGACGATGGATAGATGCATCGTCGTGTGCATGCGTACGTGTTGCGTTACACATACACCGTGCCTGGCGTGTGCGCCGACCCGGGAACGAGAACGGCACGTCGACACCTGAGCAGGCACGGCTGCCCCGCGCACGTGGCCTTGCCGAGGCCGAGCCAGCCAGCGCGGCGGTCTAGCTCGATCTAGCTAGCACTAAAGCAAGGCTATGCATGTTGCTAGGTACTAGCTGCAAGCGCGACTGACACGTCTGTACTCTCGCGCGCCCACCGGCCGGTGGATCAGGAGTCGAGCTGAGGCCCCGTTTAGTTCGGGAATTTTTAGCTTTCGGTTACTGTAGCACTTTCGTTTTTATTTGGTAAAAATTGTTCAATTATGGACTATTTAGGCTTAAAAGATTCGTCTCACGATTTCTTGGCTAACTGTGTAATTAGTTTTTTTTCGTCTATATTTAGTACTCCATGCATGTGCCGCAAGATTTGATGTGACGGAGAATCTTGAAATTTTTTAGTTTTTGGCTTGGAACTAAACGGGGCCTGAGTCATCACCTTGGCGACCACGGCTCCAAGCTCGACGTCGAGCTCTAGGGCGTTGAGCTGCCTGCTAAATCATCGCCATATCAGCGTCAAGTCCAAGAGCTCAGCGCCAACAACGATGGCGCCGAGCTAAGGGTCCAAATTTTAAAATATTTCCTCTAGGGATATATTTGTGAAAAAAATTCAAAAAAAAGCTAAAAAAATAAAAAATTCGGACCTGCCGCCCCCACAATTTTTTTCCTATATATACCTTTGGGGCTTCCCTCTAGAGTTGCATCAAAATGTATTGGAATCACATAAAAGAAAAAAAAAGAATGATATCTAATAAGTAGAGATACTTAGGTCAAGATAGAATTTTACAGATATAATAGGTTTACACTTACTATCGTTCTCTAAATAGACTAGTAAAACATACGGAGTATATCAATAATGTGCTGACAACGTAATGAACATATATAGCCAGCAACTTAAGGGCCTAAAACCGTTACAGATATGTTCACATCGTATCGACTATGTGTGCTCACTCTAACTGTGGGACGGAATGGAGGACAGAGATGTAGACATCGCCCTAGATATCAGACATTCCGTCAAAGACGTAGTTGATAATGAAGTGGAAAAGATGTCGAAAGCACAAGACTTGAAATACACCCGCAATCTTCCTCTTCTCTTCCACTGCCGCGTAGGGAAATGTTAGAAGTAGAGATACTTACAATTAGAGATAAAATATATAATCCTAGATATATAATAGGTTTATACCTAGTATTATTCTCTAAATAGACTTAGAGTTCTAATAGTACATGTATCAATTATTATGTCGACTATATAATAAACATAGCCGGTAGCTTAGGGGCATAAGCTTTTCAAATATTTCACAATGTCAACCTCCACGGCAACACTTATATTTTTTCTATATAACTTTCCCCTATATGTTTAGAAAACAAGGTGAATCTAGAAAGAACACAACTTTGTGTCCATAAAAGTAAGCACCTAAATTCATCTAGGCAAAGGTTTCGACAATGTGCTTTAGAACTAGAGATGGCAACGTGTCAGGTGTGATACAAGTGGAGCAAATACCTGTTCAACAACACCCACAAGACAGCCACCCTCGAAACATCCTGCGGGTGCAAACTCAAATACCCATTCAACAACACCCACAAGACACCCACCCTCGACACATCCTGCGGGTGCAAGTTTGCACCTGCGCCCGTGCCTGTGGGTCGCCCGTGGGTTTCGGGTAACTGTCGGATGTGTTAATCTCAGAACAATATATCATCATGATTGCATTAATAATTGTAGAAAGTTGAAACAAGAGAAGTTTACTATCTATATATCACACATCTACCACATAGGTTTCAGATAATTATATAAGTTTTTGATGGACTAAAATTTAATACTTGGATGCTAAAAATGTTGTTACCGTTAGCAACTAGATATGGATACTTAATTACAAAGAATGTTCCTTATATTTTAGGCCTAGATAGCCATCCTGCGGGTGCGATTGAGCACCCGCTCCCGACCCTCGTTCATTTCGGTCCCCGATCTGATGAGACCCATGGCTGCGATTTTTGGCACCCGCACCTGTTGGTTCAACTATCATCCTTATTTAGAAGGAACATCGACACCCTTAATTTGAGATTTAGTGCATGGACACTCGTTCTTCGGCACGTTGCACCAGCTACTGCCGGCGGTGAACATTCACACAACAGCGCCTTGTTTTATTTTGAACGAGCATCTTCATTGAAGAAGAATCCGTCGTGGTAAATGGATAAGGTTGCCATGAATTTGTCAAGACAACAAGCCGTTCCAAATTTATTTTCAATGACCATATGATTAGAGATTTTAGATGGGCACGTGAGAGCCGTATGGGAATGTTGTCCTTTGGGTTTGGGGTTGACAACCACCAGCATATATATATGGACGAACCTCCATTTTCCTCGAGTAGGTGGAAATATCATGGAACAAAAGGTGTCTTATATGCACTGGTGATGTACTATGTCGGATATTTCAAGGTGGAATACCGAGGACGGGCACGACACGTTGGACGAATCCAAAATCAACAATCTTGAATTCCTTGACTAGCCTACATATATACTCATATAAATAATAAGACCACGACCACTACTCGATTGAAAATTCCATCCTACCAAACAGATTTTGTGCACCTCCTAGTTCATTCATACAAATGTACTGCAAACCATCACACGTGGAAGTTCCATGTGTTATCTTATATAGCCAGACGACTGACTTTGTACATACGTCTACACTCGGCACCGACAGTGACTATACAAGATTTAGAAGCATTGGTGTAGATTTGGATTATAAGTCGTACTTTTTCAGTCAACAAATAATATTTTTTCTTACAATAAATCAACCAACAGTACTTTCAACCATGATTTATCAGCCAAGCGAGAACATGCCATTTGAAACGGACATCGTCGTCCTCGTCTGCCACGAGAAAAGACGACAGGCAGCGTCGTCGTCGCAGTCGCACGCAGAGTTGGCTGCTTTGACGGCCGACGACCTGTAGGTACGTACCTGTAGTAGCTAGCCTTGGCTGGAAGCATGCGTTTTCATTCGATAATAACGAAAGGAATTATTAGAATTTCCAGAAAAAGAAAATACGTGGATGTGATGAAACAAGCAGCTTCCATCTCTACTAAAACAAAACCATATGGGTGGTAACCAAGATCCATTTGAATTTCCTGAAGGTTTCTCTCACCATTTGAATTTCCTATCACTCTGCTCTCGATTATACATTTGAATTCCATTCAATTTTGCTGCAACGAAAACGAACTTGCTGAGAATTAACAAGAATAACAACAACAACCGTACATGCACAGCTCCAAAAAAAGATACCTCTGTTTGAAAGGAGTATCCATGATCTATTCCTTTCCTGTCACTGAACACAAGCTAGCTAGTATGTACAAGGAAGAGGAGAAATTAATAAAAACCAATAAAAACAATCTGTCAAGCGCTTAATAATTCCGCCGCTCTCCTCGATCTACCCTCCGGTGCAGCGGTCCTGCATTGCGCGCAACCTCCTACGCTACGACGACGTACTACCCACGCGCCGGCCGCGCGTCTCGAGACTAGCTTCACGACGAGCCGGCAACCTACGCTGCAGGGCTGCCGGCTGCTCCCTTGGCCGCCGGCGGCGGCGGCGCGCGGCACACCGGGCACGTCGGTCTCCGGCGCAGCCACTGGTCGACGCACCCGCGGTGGAACGCGTGGCGGCAGCCGGGCAGCCGCCGGAGCTCGTCGCCGTCCGCGTAGTCCGCCAGGCACACCGCGCATCGCGCCGCGTCGGACCCGGACCCACCTGCTGCCGCTGCCGTCTCCCCGGCGCCGTCGCGCGGCCCCTCCGTCTCTTCATCCTTCTCCTTCTCCTTCTCCTTCTCCGACGACGAAGAGTACAGCAGCGTCGGGTACGCGGCCAGCGCGGCGTCGTCGAGCCCGGGCGCCGCGCCGTGGCCGTGGCCCAGCTCCACGTCGTCGCCCGCCGCGTCGCGCCGATGGGACGCCGACGGCGCGCGCCGGCCGTGCCTGCGCCGTTTGGAGCACAGGAACGTGGCGGCCGAGAACACGAGCAGCGCGGCCACGGAGGCGGCGATCAGCACGGTGTTCTTGGTCATGGCCGGCGCTGCTGGCACCGACTCGCGTGCACGGCTCTCGTTCTCTGTCCCATCCCCCTTATATGATGCCCCACGCGCGCGCCAAAGCTTGTGCACCGCTGTTAAAAAATCAAAACGCCTAATCCTCTTTACCGCTAATCGCCTAATCCTCTTTACCGCTGCTTTGTTCGTTGCTTCCTGCAGGAGCTATTCCTGAGACCGACCGCCTGAGCCTGACACCTCGCCAAAATTCGGCGAATTTTCTACTGGCCTTCTTTTCAACCGCTTGAATTCGCCTAGGATTTATCAGTGTGTTTGAGGCATATTCGTGTCAAGTTACGAGTGCAGAAAAGGCAGCTAAAAAGGCTGCCTCTTTGCCAACTAGGTTATATATAATGATGCAAGAACAGGGTGCTTAGGCTGGCGATTGCATGACCGAAAAATAAACCAAAATACTGTTCCGACTAATTATTGTAAAAGAAAAATACTGTTCTGTCTGAAATCACTATTTACATGTACAGTGATGATTTTGTGAGTGGGCTGGCTAGCCGGCCGGCCAGCGGCCAGCCCCTAAGGAAGTAAAGCGCTCGTGCACTAGATTACGCAGGGAATGAGATCTCTGTAGCTTGATCTGACAGGAATGAATATCCCCTGATTCGACGTATTTTTATTCGTCCGGGTTTGCTGAGAATTTGACTTGTCCGTTGTTGAACACAAGCAAGACTGAAGCTTTGGGAAACTGAGATTCGCAAAAACTGTTGAGAAATTGTTTGGGAGGGGAGCTATGGCTGGAATCTTTTAAGAAGTTTGGAGCGACTTCATTTGTAAGGTTTGAAAAAAAATTGTTGGTGGGATCCATCTCTTGGTGTAGTGAGTTGCTAGAATTTAAGATATTTGGACATACAATCTGATGAGCCTTCTCTCTTTTATATAGACGTTGGCGTAGGGGGGAGTGGGATGATGTGCTGTGCAGGCAACAGCCACCTCTCAACGACTCGTTGGAAGGAGCCGATCGTTGTCTATTTTTTATTCTTTTGTGTATAGTGTCATCAAAAAGTATTCTTATTTATTTTATCTGACCAGTCATAGCGGTATGACCTACTTTTGTCATTAATACCATAAAAACTGATTGGACAGTGTATGAAGCCAGGCTATAGTGCCATATTAAATGCATAAGAACTGCTTTTATGCTCCATTGTGGCTGCCCTTATCAGCTTATCGTCAGTCAGCAAAACAAATAAAGCAAATGTTGTTCAAATTCCGTCACCCAGAGACCACGGGTTTGGCTGGCTCTCGTGCGCTCGCCGAGCTTGACGGGTGCCTGTGCATGATCCGGGACCTTCGCCGCCGCCGTGACGTGGCTGCCATGTTCGAGGTCTGGAAGCTCAAGGACTATGAATCTGGCGTCTGGTCGTTGGACTATCGTATCCACGAGGATCTCCTCGCTACGTCGTCCTCGTCGTCTCAGCTGACGAAGAAGCTGATGGAACCATGGCTGGTGATCCCAATTTGCTATCTACCTTCTGATGACGGTGACGATGACGACGGCGACGACAGGACGAAGAAGAAAATCCTACTGGCAACCACGGCACACGACGTGCACCTCTACGATCCGCAGACCGCCACGCTTGAGACGATTGCATCGGCGGCACATTGTTGTAAAACTACCCCGACCCGACCAACGAAGATAACGAACTGTACCTGGTTATGCGCCAGGAGAGCCTCCTTCACATCGACGGCATGGAATATGGTGCAAAAGGGATCACTGAATTAATTCATGTATGTTCCGTTGATCGATGTTGACACGTACCCCGTGCAGTGCAGTGCAGTCGATATATATATATATATATATATATATATATATATATATATATATATATATATATATATATATATATATATATATATATATATATATATATATATATATATATATATATTATTTTCTACTCCTAGGGAATAGTTACCCTATGTATATATCTCTAGATTTATGACGTATATGGCCCAACAAAATGTATGTAGATGGAGTATATCATCATACTAGACCATCTAGGATACTATGTATGCTAAGTATGTATGTATACTTAGAGTATATGGTTATACTTATTTTATATGATACTATCATAGTATTATATAATATATTAAAAAATATGTGCTCTTTTGAAAAAAAATTCACATAGTAAAGATTTGGAGTATCTTAATATTAGTATGTCAACGTACTCAAACTGATAAATGAATATGTACACATATGCAACATGATTTATTGATTATGGGAGTAACTACTCCCAGGAGTATATAAAAAACACACACACATATATATATATAGTACAAATATGGATTTTTTTTGCAGCATTGTACTTTTGAATTTGTTTTCTCAAATACGTAAAAGATTTGCACATCTTTGTATTAAGGTAGCAAAATTTGATACACGCAACGTACTTCTGGCGAGTGTCCTATGAGGTCTATAGGTAAGGCGGACGAAAAACTAGAAGCTCGTTAGCTCGCTCGGCTCGTGGCTGGCTCGGCTCGGCTCGTTATGATAACGAGCCGAGCCGAGCTAAGATTTTAGCTTGTTAGCTATAACGAGCCAACTCGAGCCAGCTCGCGAGCCGCTCACGAGTTAAACAAGCCAAGCTTTCAGGAAAAAAAGTATCAAAACTTATATTAGTTTTTGTATTACTTCATGTCTTGCACTTTACAATTGATTGGTAACTGGTCTAGACCCTATAAATTGACTGGTAACTGGTCTAGATGCATTTCTTTTGTATTATTATTATTCTCAAACTTTAGATAAATGCAAATATTATATTTTATGTATTTTTTATACCTGTCTCGCGAGCTTAACGAGCCAGCTTGAGCTTTTAACGAGCCGAGCCGAGTCGGCTTTCTGGCTTATTAGGATAACGAGCCGAGCCGAGCTAGCTCGTTATCTTAACGAGCCGAGCCGGCTCGTTATCTAGCCTTATCTACATGATTCCAGCCGTGAGCTGGACCATTCTAACAAACACGTATATATTTCAATATTATACAGATGGTACAACCAGGATAAGGACACTATTGAATTTGTAATCTGCTGCCGTATACATTGTTGGATAATGGATATGGAACCTGCTTTAATTTGTTCTGCATGCAGCGTCAAGTGATCGATGAAGACGATGCCTTCTTATGAGGAGCTCCATCATATCGTCTTAGGCCCTGTTTAGTTTCAGGGCGTAAAATTTTGAGGTGTCACATCGAGTGTTACATTAGGATATCACATGAAGTGTTTAGATACTAATAAAAAATAAATTACAGAATCCGTCAGTAAACCTTGAGACGAATTTATTAAGGCTAATTAATCCATCATTAGCACATGTGTTACTGTAGCGCCGCATTGTCAAATCATAAACTGATTAAGCTTAAAAGATTCGTCTCGCAAAGTAGTCGTAATCTGTGCAATTATTTATTTTTTAGTTTATATTTAATACCCCATGCATGTGTCCAAACATTCGATGAGATATGGTGTAAACTTTTAGGGAGGAACTAAATAAGGACTTATTTTCATATATAGCAGAGATAGATCAATGATCATACTACATTAGATTATTATTAACTATAGCATCAATCCGTGCGCAGGCAGCTAGCTAGTACTACGTCCATCTCCAAAAGAATGCAATTCTAGTACGGTGTCATATTTTAGTATCTTAAGTTTAACCAATTATAGATAAAAAATATCCATATTTATGATACCAAATAAATACCATCAGATTAATTACGAAATATATTTTCATAATAAATTAATTTAAAATCATAAATACGAATATTATTCACTAAAAATTTTGTCAAACGTGTACTACTTATCGTGGCACGTAATCCATAGTTACATTCTTTTCAGAACGGGGGTAGTACAATCTTAGGAAGCGGCCTATAAATTATATCAAGACGTGTTTTGCAAGGTTTTCACATCAAACCCGAAACTCCCGACAAATGACCAGTGAGCTAAAAAAAGAAAGAATATGTTACATTTTTCATATGTTCTCCTCTTATAGATAGAATGAATAAAGAAGAAAGTTTTTCGATCACTGACTTTGCCCGTCCTTTCTCGATCGTTTTTTAATGTAAATAGATTCAATCTAATAATTATTCCTTTTAGATTAAGTCTTAGGTCTCGTTTGACCGAGATGAGAGTTAGACTCAAACCAAACTCGGACCATAAAAACCAGCTTAGTCGGATCCTAAAATCGGCTAAGCCAGTTTCTTTGGTCTTAGGCGGCCGTTGCCGGACACATTACAGAGAAACTGTCCTAGCGGGCCCAGTTTTTCCGTATAGAAAACTGTGGGTCAAGAACTTATTGGGACCAATCACATAGATGGCCTGGTATTTATCATCACCTAGATGCTCTAGTGGAGACTATGTGACCTTCCTTTGGTGGAGTTCTTATCGTTATCGAAGGCTCCTAGTTGTGTGCTTGTTGGGACCCATCAATCTAGAGTGAAGAATGGATTCTCTTAGACTGACTCCAACAGAGCTACCCAAATCAAAAAATGAGTCTCGCACAGTGCTTTGCCTATCAAATACCAGTTCCAACGGATGACCCAACCATACGACGCATTTTGCCTGCCAGCCCAAACGAAACGCAAAAAAGCGTCGCCTCTCTCCTCGCTACGCAAATCTCTGAGCGGAGTCTGCTGCACCTTCTTCTCCGCGCGCGACCTCCATCGGCAAGCACGCGAGCACGCGACCTCCACCGGCAACCACCAGATCCCCCACCGCGACCTCCACCGCAAGCACGCACGCGAGCACGCAGGAGCCTCCGCCGGCAAGCACAAGCACGCGCGAGCACGCAGGAGCCTCCGCCGGCAACCACGAGCACGCAGGAGCACGCTGGCCTTCACGAGCACGCTGGAGCACGCAACCTCCGCCGGCTAGCACGAGCACGCCGGCAAGCACTAGCAGCAGACGAGCAACGGCGGGCAAGCACAAGCACACCGGCCTTCACGCTCACGCCGGCAAGCACGAGCATGAGCAAGCCGGCAAGCATGACCTCCGCCGGCCTTCTTCTCCAGCTCGCAGGAGCCCAAATCGAGCCTCCCGGCGCCCGAATCGAGCTTCTACGCCTCCGAATCGACTTTCCCCACCGCCGAATCGAGCTTCCTCGTCCCTAAATCGAGCTCGTCGTGCGGTCCGCCGCCACCTTCCTCCTCTGGCTCCACCGCGCATGTTCCTGCGCCTGGGCAGGGACCTGGCCAGGCGGTACGGGACGTGGGGGATGGTGGAGGCGCCCGTATGGGAGGCCGTGGCGCGGGTGAACGTCTAGGACGCGGCGGGCGAGGTAGGTAGCTCGGCGGCGTCCTCGGTCGTGCGGTCGTCCTCCGCTTCAGGTTGGGTCTGCTGTTGCGTTGCTGTTGGAGAGGGCTGAGTTATGGGTGCGTTACCTTTGTCTGTGCATAACCTAAAACCGGGAATGGGTGTCGTATTTAGGGGGTGTTTGGTTCTTTAGTCGCTCCTAAAATTCATATAATATCGAATGTTTAGATACTAATAAAGAGCATTAAATATAGATTAATTATAAAACCAATTATATAGATGGAGACTAATTTTCGAGACGAATTTTTTAAGCCTACTTAATCTGTCATTAGCACATGTTATTGTAGCATCACGTTGTCAAATCATGAACTAATTGGGCTTAAAAGATTCATCTCGTAAATTAGTCGTAAGTTATACAATTAGTTTCGTAATTAATCTATATTTAATACTTCATATATGTGTCCAAATATTCGATATGACAAAAATTTTAGGAGGTCCCGTAGAAATCAAACAGAGCCTTGAGTTTTACTGGTTGGAGACGGTCTTAGGACGTGTCCAACGCTCCACGGTGGCCAACGCTCCACGGTGGCCGGTGGTCTTGTCAGACCATGCAGGCTCGGATACCAAGCGGGACAAAAAACAAGTTGGAATTTTGGATTACCGTAACACTTTTGTTTTTATTTGGTAATTAGTGTTTAAATATGGACTAATTAGGCTCAAAACGTTCGTGTCGCAATTTCCCACCAAACTGTGCAATTAGTTTTTTTCGTCTATATTTAATGCTTCATATACAGTCATAAACATTCGATATAATGACTGCTGTAACAATTTTTGGAATTTTAGGTTGGACTAAACATGGGCCGTGGTGGCTTGGCAGGGTGTCAGCATAGCGACTCCTCACCTGACAAACCGCAGAAGCAACTGGTTGAGGCAGAGCAGCAACGTCAGCCTGTGCTTTCTTTAGGGGGTGTTCGACGCGCGGACTAAAGTTTAGTCCGTATTATATTAGACGTTTCAATGCTAATTAGGAGAACTAAATATAAACTAATTAAAAAATTAATTAAACAGGAGTAGACTAATTTATGAGATAAATCTATTAAGCCTAATTAATCTATCATTAGTATATATTTATTGTAGCATCATATTATCAAATCATGGATTAGTTAGGCTTAAAAATTCGTCTCGCAAATTAATCACAATCTGTGTAATTAATTATTTTTTAGTTTATATTTAATACTTCATGCATGTATCAAACATTTAATGGAACATCGACTAAAATCTGGTCTACGGAACCAAACACCCTAGACAGCTGGTGGTACACCGCCTCTCACACGTGACCCAGAAGAGGGAGAAATAGCAGGAGAAAATTCCTTAGTTGCCACTAAAAATTATAATCATCCCTTCACTGTTATTGAAATTTGATCTTCCCTTAGCTGTCATTCCGTCAATTTCATGCGTAACGATATTTGGAGGAGCTTTACTGTGCCTCTCGGATCAAGTGTGCGTGGTATGATGGATCATGGATAGGATTGGGGGTTGAGTGCCTGGGCAGCCGCAGCGGTGGCGCAGCACTTCTGGAGAGGGCGGTCATCGTCAGGCACGCCGCAGCGCCTCCGCCAAGTCAGACCGCGACCTGCACGGCTGCACGCGGCCACGCAGGGGCGGCTCTGCACGCGTGGGGCCGCGCTGGGTCACGTCCATGCGCTCTGCGAACTCGGGTACTGATTCCAAGGGCAGGTCGACGAGCTGGCTCGTGCTGGCGGTGTCGCGGAGCAGCTCGAACGCGCGGGCGCGGACCGCGGCCTCGACGGAGATGTTTTCGGTGCGTTTCTGCGGCTGCGCCGTGCAGGGGTGAAAGAAGCAGGCGGCGAGGACGACGGCGTGCACGAGCAGCGACGGCAGCAGCGGCAGGGATGCCTTGGCCATTGACGCCTTGTATTCGTTGGTGCGCTCGCTCTGCGCCGGCGTGTGACGACGGCGGCGGCAGGAAGCCGCCATCGCGACGGAGAGGAATGGAATGGAACGGAACGGTGGGGGTTGGAAAGGCCAAGCTGGGCACGGAGGCTAATTAGCAAAGGAAGGAGGTGAGTTTGCTTTATTTAGGAGGTCATGGCCAAGGGCGTTAATGGCCGGCCGGACTATTATATGCATCGAGCAGGAGAGCTGGGGCATGGACCTCGCTAGGCAGATACAGAGGCAGCAGACGCGCGCTTAGCTAGCTAGCTTTTCCCTACGGGCTCCGGCAACGGCAACTGCCGAGAGCAAGTGGCCAAACCAACCAACGATTCCGGCAGCAGGCAAACGAAACTCGCTGTCTTGAGCGAGCACAGGGAGCTTGAGCACAGGGAGCTTATCTGACGACAAGACAATCACACATTCCATTTTCTTTCCCCATCGAGGAGCAGTTGATGCTACTGCTCTAGAACTAACACAATACTGTGTGTTTGCAGTGGCCTAGCGGCCGGTGCAGTGAATTGTGGAAGGCTAGTGCGTGAGTGCAGCTGACTGATTGGCAGGCGGCAGCTTTGTTGGAGCTCTCATAGGAGGAGTATAGGACTAGGACGGCAGGTGGCCGGCACATGACAGATGACGGCCGGCCATGGACCAAGGTTAAAAGTGATTGGCATTTGCAGGTCGGCCGTTTGACGAGGTGATGCGAGTGGGAGCAGGTTGGCTGCTCAATGCTGATGCCTCAATCTCCAGTGGCGACTGAAAATTCCTATACGCCACCGTGGTAGAAGTGGCAAAAAAAAATTGGCCTAAAGGGCCCTTGCTTTCCTATTGTCCAAGGACCTTGAAATCTATAGAGCCGGCGCTGGGTGAGGCCTTGTTGGTCGCTGTACGCCACCGTGGTCTCGTCCTGCAGAAGGTAGGATACGCACTGGATGGCACCACGGAACTGGGGCAGGTGGAGGTCGCCGGCGAGATGCGCCACGATGCGTGCCGCGAGCTTCCTCATCTCCGTGTTCTCCGGTCGCCGGGCGTCTCTCCATCAAAGCGAGTCGATCCGCTTCTGGATCTTGGGCCTGGAAGGAAGAAGCAGCTTTCGGAGACGCTCCACCCGAAGTCCGGCAGGAGCAGGAGTCCTTCAACGCCGACGGCGACCGTGGCGGCGGCGAGAGCCAGCGCCGAAAGCACAGTGACCAGGAGGCGGTGGCCCTCGATGAGGTCCCGCCGCACGCCATAGCCATCCTGGAGTCAGTACCCGAGCTCGCAGAGCGCATGGACGTGACCCAGCGCTGCCCCACGCGTGCAAAGCCGCCCCTGCGTGGCTGCGTGCAGCCGTGCAGGTCGTGGTCTGACTTGGCGGCGGCGCTGCAGCGTGCCTGCCGATGGCCGCCCTCACCAGAAGTGCGGTGCCACCGCTGCGGCTGCCCAGGCACTCAACCCCCATCCCATCCATGATCTATCATGCCACGCACACTTGATTGGAGAGGCACAGCAAAGCTCCTCCAAACGTCGTTACGCATGAAATTGACGGAATGGTAGCCAAGGGAAAGGAAAGCATAAATCAATGGCAATGAAGAGAGATCATTTTTTCAATGGCAATGAAGTGATGGTTATAATTTTCAGCGGCAACTAAGGAATTTTCTCAAATAGCAGGGTCAAGAGATGGCAGGGTAGTGAGGGCCAATAAAAAATGAGCAAATGTACCCTAGTACGTTGGAAAGACGTTAGCTTCTATTTGCATTCGATAAAGCTCTACTCATCCCAAATCATTTTCCTATCCAAACCAAATGAAATGACTATCCGAATGCTACAAATAAATATTACATGGATATCCCGCTCTAGATGGCATGACCACCGAGCCGGATGACCAAGAGCGAACTGGCAATTCAGAGGAGACGGGCCCGAGACGACGCCAAGCGGGCTGGGCCGGCGCGCTTTCATGTTCGCTAGACCTGTAGTAGGCTGTGGGAGCGAGGGCCCTTCAATTTCGGGACAACACAACTGTGGGCTGCCGGCCTGCACAACTTTAGATTCTGTTTGGTTTTGACCAAAACGTGCCATGCCATAGGTTTATGTTACAGTTTTTCAGCCAGCTGTTTGGTTTGGTACCACAGTTACGGCGTACCACATTTTTTTAACATCCTGTCCCACACGTTATAGACATATTTTCTTACCAAAATTTGTTACATGACTTCAATTTTTCTCGTCAAACTTTTTCTGACAGCCACAGTTTGGTTTGCTCGGCAGATGAGCAAAGCCAACGCCTGCTAAACAAGATTATTATTATTATTATTTACAAACAGTGAAAGGGGGAATACTCCTCTTTTCTCTGCAGTGTCAACATCGTACACGAGCAGTGCCTTTGGGTAAACACCTCGCATGATCCTCTGTCTCACAGGGGTACGGAAAAAAGAGGAACCATTTCTTTTTCCTTTGTTTTTTTCTTTTGTGAAAGGAAAGAAAGCACAACGATGTCTAAAAGAGTATGATAGGTTTAACATGGTGTATGTATTGCTTAAACCTTATGGACTACTATTTATATAGAAGTGCAGTACATGAGGTTCTCCAAAGATAGACAGAGCTATAAACAGGGGCGGAGCCAAAAAGTTAATTTTATAAATGTTAGGAGGAAGTCAACCGTGTTGAATTTTCAAAATTTATTTAAGTTTTAAAAAACTAATGGAAAATTCACGTTCATATGGGGGCCTAGGCCGTGCCGCCCGGTCTCCGCCATAATAGACTGTAGTCGACTCTAATTTAACCATGATTAGACATGAATGATGATAGTATACATTATGAAGAGGACCATACATGTACAGGACTCATTTGCTGCCGCTTCATTTTAAAAATAAAGGAGCGTACATATCTAGGGCTCGTTTGGTGCACAATGAAGTGGAGTGCTAGAGAAAATATAATTTGGTGTAATTTAAGAGACCGTGTCACATTAAATTATGTCTCATCTTAGAATAAACACGCTTCCTAAAGTGCAGGTGCCTGAAAACACAGAAACAAAGGCAGGATGAAAGATATCAAGAAACAAGAAGCTCCAAAGCCATCTGATTTAGATCCAATGAATGAAAATCATTGTCTGATTAGATGCAAAATTTCAAGCACCTGCACTTAAAATATAGCAGGTCCCAAAAAATAAAACAGAATGGAGGGAGAACGTTGGCCGCCGATCAGCCAGGTGCCCAATTTTCGACGCACCCGGTCCCGGACTCCCGGTGGAACGCGTGCCGGCATCCGGGTAGCTAGCCACCGGCGGCGGACCGGCCGGAGCCCGGAGCTCGTCGCCTCGCCTGTGTACAAGGCGGTTGACGTCGGTCGTGGCGTCCATTAGGTACGTACTCGTCTGCCAACGACCTGTCGTCGCAGTTGGCGCGGCGGTTGGCGGTTGGCGGTTGGCGCGGCGCAAGGCTAGCTTTGAAACGGACATGGTCGTCCTCGTCTGCCACGAGAAAAGACGACAGGCAGCGTCGTCGTCGCAGTCGCACGCAGAGTTGGCTGCTTTGACGGCCGACGACCTGTAGGTACGTACCTGTAGTAGCTAGCCTTGGCTGGAAGCATGCGTTTTCATTCGATAATAACGAAAGGAATTATTAGAATTTCCAGAAAAAGAAAATACGTGGATGTGATGAAACAAGCAGCTTCCATCTCTACTAAAGAAAACGTCTAGGTAACAATCGGTTATTTTTAATCATCTCAACAACCAGATTTTTTCCATGCACTTACACTGTCATATAGCTATATTTACATTATCATATTACTATATTTACAATAATCTCTTCACTGTAATTTATTGGACAGAGTAATGTAATTTGGGAATAACACAAATATATACCAAAATTTTCAAAATAAATACAAATTATTTTCATGAATTACATATATTAGAGAAATATACGTTAAACTGTCCTCGTGTCTCGCTCCCCGAATCTTCAGTGCCGCCTGCACACCCACTCGTAGCTATGCCTGCCGTAGAGGATCCTGGGAGGGAGGGCTTGCACAGGCTGTCGCGGGGCAGGCTACGTGTCGCGGGACATGCTGGTTACTGGACACGCGCGGTGCTCTAGGGACGGGCCCACATACTGCTACTAAAATAAAAACCATATGGGTGGTAACCAAGATCCATTTGAATTTCCTGAAGGTTTCTCTCACCATTTGAATTTCCTATCACTCTGCTCTCGATTATACATTTGAATTCCATTCAATTTCGCTGCAACGAAAACGAACTTGCTGAGAATTAACAAGAATAACAACAACAACCGTACATGCACAGCTCCAAAAAAAGATACCTCTGTTTGAAAGGAGTATCCATGATCTATTCCTTTCCTGTCACTGAACACAAGCTAGCTAGTATGTACAAGGAAGAGGAGAAATTAATAAAAACCAATAAAACCAATCTGTCAAGCGCTTAATATAATTCCGCCGCTCTCCTCGATCTACCCTCCGGTGCTGCATTGCGCGCAACCTCCTACGCTACGACGACGTACTACCCACGCGCCGGCCGCGCGTCTCGCGACTAGCTTCACGACGAGCCGGCAACCTACGCTGCAGGGCTGCCGGCTGCTCCCTTGGCCGCCGGCGGCGGCGGCGCGCGGCACACCGGGCACGTCGGTCTCCGGCGCAGCCACTGGTCGACGCACCCGCGGTGGAACGCGTGGCGGCAGCCGGGCAGCCGCCGGAGCTCGTCGCCGTCCGCGTAGTCCGCCAGGCACACCGCGCATCGCGCCGCGTCGGACCCGGACCCACCTGCCGCCGCTGCCGTCTCCCCGGCGCCGTCGCGCGGCCCCTCCGTCTCTTCATCCTTCTCTTCTCCTTCTCCTTCTCCGACGACGAAGAGTACAGCAGCGTCGGGTACGCGGCCAGCGCGGCGTCGTCGAGCCCGGGCGCCTCGCCGTGGCCGTGGCCCAGCTCCACGTCGTCGCCCGCCGCGTCGCGCCGATGGGACTGCGACGGCGCGCGCCGGCCGTGCCTGCGCCGCTTGGAGCACAGGAACGTGGCAGCCGAGAACACGAGCAGCGCGGCCACGGAGGCGGCGATCAGCACGGTGTCCTTGGTCATGGCCGCCGCTGCGGGCACCGACTCGCGTGCACGGCTCTCGTTCTCTGTCCCATCCGCCTTATATGATGCCCCACGCGCGCGCCAAAACTTGTGCACCGCTGTTAAAAAATCAAAACGCGCTAATGACCGGGCCACACATGTGTGGCTTAATAATAATAATTTTTTATCTCGGCCTAATAATTAATTAACTACTGCTAATCGCCAAATCCTCTTTACCGCTGCTTTGTTCGTTGCTTCCCGCAGGAGCTATTCCTGAGACCGACCGCCTGAGTCTGACACCTCGCCAAAATTCGCCGAATTTTCTACTGGCCTTCTTTTCAACCGCTTGAATTCGCCTAGGATTTATCAGTGTGTTTGAGGCATATTCGTGTCAAGTTACGAGTGCAGAAACGGCAGCTAAAAAGGCTGCCTCTTTGCCAACTAGGTTATATATAATTAGCCTGTTCGTTTGGCCGTGGCTTGTCGTAAACGATCGTAAATTTTCAGCCGAAATAATATTTTTCTCTCACACAAACCAGTCAGCAGTACTTCTTCACGAACCAGCAACGAAACGAACCAGTCAACCGAACAGGCTAAATGATGCTGAATGATGCAAGAACAGGGTGCTTAGGCTGGCGATTAAGGAAGTAAAGCGCGCATGCACTAGATTACGCAGGGAATGAGATCTCTGTAGCTTGATATGACAGGAGTGAATATCCCCTGATTCGACGTATTTTTATTCGGGCCTTATTAGATTGAAAAAATTTCAACCCGATGAATAGTAGTATTTTCGTTTTATTTGATAAATATTGTCCAATCGTGGACCAACTAAGCTCAAAAGATTCATCTCGTGATTCCCAACTAAACTGTGCAATTAGTTATTTTTTTTACCTACATTTAATACTCCATGCAAACGGCTAAAAATTGATGTGATGGAGAGAGAGTGAAAAAACTTGGAATTTTGAGGATATCTAAACAAGGCCTCGTTCGGGTTTGCTGAGAATTTGATTTGACAAGTTGGTCTCCTTCCTTATCGGCTTATCGTCAGTCAGCAAAACAAATAAAGCAAATGTTGTTCAAATTCCGTCACCCAGAGACCACGGGTTTGGCTGGCTCTCGTGCGCAGCCTCACGTGGGCGGCGCACTTTTTGTGGAAAGTTTGTAGACCAAATTTCGCAGGAAATACGCAGGAGTTCAAATTTCGTTTGCTTTCAAAGCAATTTTCCTCCCAAACGAGGCCTAAAATCGATTCAAATTCCTGGACTGTTTAAGGTCCGGATTGTTGCTTGTGCAGATGGAGCGAGAAGGAGAGCTCAGTTTGTTTTTTTATTTTTATTTTTTAGGAAAGAAGGGGAGCTCAGTTGCTTGTGCGAGCTGGCAAATGATGTCTGAACATAGGAGAAACCCGTCCAAATAAATACGATAAAAATTTGGCGTGTACTCCTACGTGTATGAACGTGTGATGCTGTGATGGACCCGGTACAATACCTGGGGTTGCAGCACTGACAAGTTATCGGACTTTTGAAATTGACTCATCATTGGACCCACCGGCCGCACGAGCAAATCTCAATTTTTTATTCAAGGAACTTGACCATTTCTTGTGTGTTTCCACGAGCGTGCATTGATCATGTATTCATGTTCCAGTCATCTGGATCTCTTTTGAAAAAGAACCAACAATTGTTTACGCGAGGTCATAAACTCATATTGTGAACAAAGCCTTGAATCAATTTTTTTGTACCGAACGTGTTTGGCAGATTCAGCAGATGCTTCCTATCATCCTATGTAGTCGTGATGTGAGGTGTTTGGACTTTGGAGCTCAATCATCTTAGGTGATTGAAGCGAAAAATCTGAAAGATTATGCAAGTCATCGTTGTTGCCTAGGATTTTGTTTCAGTTCTTAACTGATACAACTTGCTGCCTAGGAATCTTTTTTGAAGAAGAAATCCCCTGACGGGAATGTGACATGTATGTGACAGGATGGGCACATATGATATTTGCCATTGCTAACAGCAAATTGATGTATGATGACGCCTCCAGATATGACATTTGCCATTGCTAACAACAATTTGATGTATGATAACAACAATTTGATGTATGATGACGCCTCCAGACATGATATTTGCCATTGCTAACAGCGATTTTGATGTATGATGACGCCCCCAGAGATTGCACAGGTACAAGTCATCATGTTACTTAAAACCAACCACATCAACACATTTGTTTTGTTCCTGCAGATGCTGTTGTTTCTGTTTCTATTTGCTAAGAAACTCCAGTCAGATCTCAGTCGTTCAGCAAGACAGTTCACCAGTTCAAGGACACTGAGGGCACTAGTGACATCTTTTTTTTTTCTTCTCAAAAACAGCAGGAACACTGCTATATCATATAAGAAGGGCAAGCCCAAGTCTTATGAGGGTTTATTGCCGGTAATTTAAACCACTCACACTTAAACTTCTGAAACCAAATCACTGAAGGAGGCACCAAGCCAACTCCACACGCCAACCGCAACAACTGTAACTCCCTGGGAGCATTCCAAACCAGCTTGCAGGGATCAAGGCTATGCACTCTTGCAGCTTAACTTAAACATTTATTACTTAAGATATAAAAATCAAAATTACAAGCAGGAACAGCGAACGCTATGTATGAAGTACATCTAAGACCAGAAACTTCAAGGTGATTCATGCTACGCCATAACGTTTTCCCTTACAAGAAAAATATCTGAAATGTCCCTATGTAGCTAGGATGCTGATGCTAATCCTCTGAACATGGGCACTCTCTAGGAAAACATAACTGCAAAGCTGGGCTTCCTTTATGCAAAACGTAGGCAATAACTAGAGCAGTCACATAAAAATCAGCTCTTGTTTTCAGTAGTTTCTGCTGAAGTAGAGGATGTTGTCGACGCTGTGAGGTCCCTGGCGCATTGTGACACGTATGGCTTCAGCTGCAACCATTCACACATGACATCTCATTCATGAGAAAATGCAGGCAAAAATTGAAACTCAAACTCATCTTAGCCACATAACAGGTTATAGGTGATAATTGTCCATCTTCAGGCCCTCCCTTTCCCAGTCCTAAACTCAACTTTTCTACGGTAAAAGTTTCATAATATCAACTCAAAAAAAATTAATAATTATTCTGTGTTGGGTTTGGCATTTACAACAACTTCTTTACTATCACAGGTTTGCATTTTTTAACTTAAATTGGGCAACTGGTGCTCCAAGCTCCAGGTGCTGAAAGTAAAGTAAAGTAAACTGAATGTCTTCCAATTTCGTCCAGCAAACTAAATTGTGGAGTGAAGAAGATAATTTTGGTACTTGATATTTAATTAACTTAACATGCTATATTAAGTCTGTAAAGTGTGAACCAGAAAAAGGCCAATTACCTTGAAATCAGTCAAGTCAGGAACCACAAATCTTGGCAACTTTTCATCAACAATCACATATCCACCTGCAAAAGAAGGTAAACTTTTAAGATAAAAAAGGTAATGAAAGTAAAATTACTCACACCAATGAGAAAGGATTGGATGGCACTGAAATTATTCTACTACAGTTTTTTGATAATTATAGTATGAAAGTGGTGAATGAAGATACTGACTCAACGAAGTAACATCAAGAATCCGGTGGAAAGAATGACTTCTTACAGGATCTCTAGAGCTACATTGTGGTGGTTACAAACTAGGTACAATCTAAGGCTGAAACAAGAAAAGGTACTAATAACATCTATACATTACAACCATACGCCACATATGCTGATCTACATATCAAAGGACAGGAAACAGGAGAGACAGCTAACCACGTGTAGGCGGATGAAGAACGAACTTGTTAAACATGATGTAACTACAAACACTGGAGGAGGTTTGGCTAATTTCCTCTACCATCACTAGTTCAGTAGTTCGTATGGCTTAAAACAATGCTAAGTTTCAACTGACGCCGTTAGGTTGTTTCAGCGGATGTCCTTGTACGTCAAGCTACACCGATCGCATAATTTCACTCCTGTGAATTCTCATTCCAACATTTCAACGATCACCTGTCTTGCAGGCGAGGCTGGAACAGCTAGACCTAGATCACTGGATGGCAAAATGCTACCTTTGCGGGTGTGGAACCCGGTGGGCTTGCAGTTCTTGCCCTTGTAGTAATCCCGCGGCGCCCGCTTGGAGGAGAGGATGTCGAGCGAGGACAGCCGCTTCCGCCGCATCGCCCGCCCCAGCGAGCCCAGCGTCAGCCCCAGAGGCATCCTCCAACACCGCGGCGAGCGAACGAGGTTCCTGCACAGCCCAGGGGAGAAAGGATCAGCGCGTCTCGGCGGAGATCAGCGACGGCGGCGCGAGGAGGAAGTTGAGGGGAATGTACCGGACGGTGAAGGGGATAGGAGGCGGCGGCGGGCGCTGCTGGAGTGCTGGGTAGGGTTTGCCAGGGAGTCACCGCATCCGACAGCCCGCAAGGCCCAATGCAGCCCACCACGGGGATGCTGAGATGATTCTTTCTTTTCTTTTTCCTTCTTTTTTTTCTACTTATAATGTTGAATGAATCCATTTTTGTAGGAGTAGGTTCTATGCTAGGCCATTTATATGCAGTAAGTAATCATAAACATTTGGATACAAGATGAAAACTAATTCAACAGTTTGGTTTATGTACAGTATTATATATGTATGTAAGAGTATCTGGGTAAACAGCTTACACATGCCGCCACCAAATTGCAGTGTTGAAATATTTCATTCGTTCATTTAAATTAAAAAATTTATTTTAAACATATTCTTGGATTTTTTTATTTGGCTGATCCTCTAACGCATGAGCAAGTAAATCGCATATTTTTTTTAAAAGGAAAAGGAATCCCGTATTGTTTTCACATGAAGCTTGCTTCAGTTTTCTTGATAGACATTTGGTCGTTTGCTCTCTTTTTTAAAAGGAAAAGGAAAAAAACAACTAGCGTACATTGACCATGTTCCAATTATCAGTAACCTGGAAAAGGATTTATCAATTATTTAAGACTGTAGTCTAATATGTGTAAACAACGTTATATTTGATTGGCAGGTGCAGCTAAGGCCCCGTTTGGCAGAGCTCTCAGAGCCGATTCTCTGCTGAATCCAGCAAGAGCTCTGCCAAACAGTTTTCCAGAGAAAAGTGATTCTCCGTTGATTCCGTGAAGTGATTCTCTGAAACGAGCTAGGAGGCTGAGAGCTGGAAAAAGTAGCTTCTCCTGATTCTATGAAGTGATTCTCTGTCACGATTTCAAGAGTTTATGTTAAAGAATCAAAGAGAATCACTTTTACCCACAGAATCACTTCTCTCAGAGAATCCGCTTCAATAGAGAATCAAAATCAGATGGAGCTCTACCAAACAGGTCCTAAAAGTATACGCAACTCGAGAACTATTGGCTCATTGTTCAGGATTCTAGGGTGTGTTTAGTTCCTCCCAAATTCCCAACTTTGATACTATGCAAAAAGAAAATTACCCACATCAAACTTACGGTACATGCATGGAGTACTAAATGTTGACGAAATCAAAAAACAATTGCACAGTTTGGTTGTACTTTGTGAGACGAACGTTTTGAGCCTAATTAGTCAACGATTAGATAATTATTACCAAATAAAAACAAAACGCTACTGTATTTTCGACGGCGCCGATTCGGACGAACTAAACATGGCCCTAGTTGCTATCAGAAGCAACATGTCTGACAATCAGAATTCAGAAAGCACATTCAGTAACAGGAATGACTTAGTGGGAGACATCCATCTATCTGCCATACATAGATACTAAAGGGAACAGTACAGACCCACTCAAATTCTAGTTTGGCAGGAGCTCGAGTCGTTTCGGTGTGACCGTTCCAGCACAAAATAAGGTACAGCCTCACCGCTCCCGTGCTCCGGCAGCAGCAGAAATCTCTAACTACGATTCTCGCACCAAAAGAAGGCCGGTGAGCGTGGCCACGTCGCCAGCAGTTCCTGGCCGTCGGATCGGGCGCGTGGACGGCCCAGAGCGTGCGAGCCCCGGTCTTTTGCAAAAAAAAGTGTCAAACTTTAGTTGAATCAATCTGTAGTTCTGGCCTCCTCTCAGGTTTTTTTTGTAAAAAAAAGTCCTCGAACTTTACGAAAATCAACACGCAATCCAGGCCTTTAAAATGGGCCGGCCTGCCCCCCGCTCGGGCCTATATATCGCCGGACCTGGGCCTTACTGGGCCAAATTCGGCCCGACGACGTCTTTCTATTTTCCTGTGAATTTGTTATGTATCTAAAACGATTGAAATTTTGTAAAGAACATAATAAAACAAAAAAATCAAAAAAATGCCAAACCAAGTTTGTTGAACTCTACACAATTAGCACTGCACTGTAAACACATAACACCGCGTGCCTTTTCTAGTGCCACTGGAAATACGAATAAGAAAATCCTCATACGACATCATGTACTCATCAGCTGCTAAAAGTTTATCTTAAAAAGAAGGTACGATAACACCGGCTTATATTAATAAGCAGGGAGCTGATACATGTCTTAGAGACGCCTATCTGATGACTTATTTGTAAAGATCATCGACCAGGGTGAAAAATCTAAAGGATTACTCACCACTAGTCACTAGAGAAGCGATAAGGAGAAACATGCTAAAAGGTACTGCAGGCAGTACGTGGAATGAAGTCAGCAGACAGCCAGGGCATTATTATGGACGTCGCGGTTGCAACACTGACACCTGATCGTGTAAGCCACTGTCCCAAGGAATGTTGTCGCCGCGGCAGGGGAAGGGGCTAGTGGACGAACACATCACCCGGGTGATTTGGGTGGGGGCGTAGTGCCTGCTGCCCAACGGCGACTCCACAGCCGCCCAAACGACAGAGTTGTGCAGGTAGATATAGCTACAGAAATCAGAATTAAAAAAATACAGCATGGAAATTACGGCATGCATCAATTCTTGAGCAAAAAAGGAAACGAAGCCAAAGTCATTTACCTTCCGAAGAAGGAGCTATCAGCAGAACCTCGATACATTAGCCCGCCTACAATGGACGGCGCGGTGTCGGCGGCGGGGCGTTCGTGGGCCACGACCACCGAGGTGGGCTGGCCATCGGAGATCAAATGCACCACTTCTTGCTGTGCCTGCATACATCGTTGACATGTTATTATTGATTTATGGGCAGCAGTGAGGACCAGAATAAAAATCCTCCTTCCAGCGTCTAATCAAATTCTTACATCGATGCTGGCACAGTACAGAACATCAGGCTTATCTGAATCGAAGGAACATCCTCCTCGGAATACCCAAACCGGTCGCGAAGACGTCGGCCTCGATGGGCATGTCACCGGTTCCTGACGCAGATCATCAGACCATTAATGATGACGCTGATGCGGTCAAGGGATGAAAGATGTAATAGGGGCAGACGTGTCAGGCAGATCGAGGGGTCATACCATCGAATGCATCCGTACTAACTTAAGCTGTGTGGCAACGACCTGCTGGTACTCTCTAATAGGTCGTCATGTGTCGAGATTGATGATCAGGCTTATCTGAATCGAAGAACTCCTCCAGGAATACCCAAATTCGTCGGGGTCGTAATTGTGTTGGCGAATAGATCAGCCGGAGATGGACGCGCGCAACAGACCACAAATGAAACAACATGCGGTAATACAATCTGATTAACATACATTCAGCCGTGTTTAGTTGCAGATTTTGTACAACATCGAATGCATCCGTACTAACTTAAGCCGTGTGGCAACGACCTGCTGCTACTCTCTAATAGGTCGTCATGTGTCGAGATTGATGAGCCCCCAAAGGAGGCCGAACTTACAGGCAGTGATGAATTCGTAGGGGTCGCAATTGTGTTGTCGAATAGATCAGCCGGAGATGGAGGCGCGCAAACCTACACAAAGGAAACAACAGATTAATACAATCTGATTAACATGTGAACTAAATGCCCCCTCGTACCATCTCTACTCCTAGAAAGAGTAAACTGGACCCGTTGACCATGCGTGGTGATGCCGAGCCGCTCCAGCGTCCCCGTCCTACAGTATTTGTTTTGCGCCGACATGTGGGTCCAGGACATCTGCCCCCGCATGCCTGCGTCCGTGCATCTGGAATTTTGGATCCCCCCTCGCGGCGGCCTCGCCCTATTCTCCGCTCAGCGAGTCAACGCCTTCCCCTTCCGAGCTTGACCAGCAGCAAGCTGCCCTGTGCCACCGACGAAGGCCCGTGGCCCAGCCTCTCACGGCGCCCATCGAGGAGCAGCGGGGCGACTCGAGGGGCAGGACGGCAGGGACCTCGCCCGCATCACATCAACGCTGCGCACATCCTCCCTGCACCGAGGCCCTCCTCCGGTGATGCCGAGCCCGCCGCCCAACCGCCCGCTGGTTGCTCTACAGATGCAGGTTGTCGTTCAGGGCAGCACAGTGAAGGTACGGCTGCACCTCGAACACCAGATATCTTGGTTTTTGTTGGAAGATTTCCACCACCGCTGCAGCATTAATCCGGCGATAATAGCATGCCCACTGGGTGTTTGTAAAAATGCCAAACCACTGAAACTTGCAGAGCCACAGGTGCCTGGGTCAACGTTAGGATCCACCACCAGGTGCTCACGCTCGCCATATCCGTCATAATTGTTTCTTTGTCTTTCTAAATAATAATAATTGTTTACTATAAGCCTAGAATCATATCATTGCTCATGAATTATGAAATGTCTTATAGTTATGCTAATTCTCAGATGTGTGCCCAAAATGTCATTTTGTGTTGATTACTGTTTGGTAGGACATAATCAAATTAATTTGTTTACCTTTCAAACGTTGAGTCGCATGCTTCTTTGTCCATTTTCCTATTTTATCCTATTTGGTTTTTAATAGCAGCTTTTAATCTGGACTAACATATTATTGTCACAACGTGAACAGCGGCATGGCTCAATAAGGACTTGCTGCAGAAACATGCTTTGGTAGGCTTTGACCATGGAACAATTTTGTTCTTACAGGTATAAGCATATTAACTCATTTACTTGAAAAGAACGGTAAAGTGTATATTTAAAGCATGGACTCATGGTATGTTACTGTTGTTTGTATACAGTAAGCCATATTTTATTTTTCCATTTCCATTACTTGTTGGAAGTTGCAACTGTCAACTCTAAATGAAATTTTCAGCTTAATTTGTTTTAGGAAGACTGGTTGCTAACTTCATTTGTGAGCCTTTTGCATTTGAACAAAACAATGTTTGGGACTGTGAGCTCTAATTTTGCTGGGCAATTTGATGTTATGAAACCACATATTGATGCTATACATGAGGGAGCCCCATGTACGTTTGGATGTGTGCATTCTACTTTGCTACTGTATACATGTATTTTGTTGGATGTAGTACTGAGAGACTTTTTTTTCTACTTTTTCCCTAGCACCAACTTGTGTACTACTTTGCTCGGCCTGGTTCTGCTCCTCAGCCAGATCCACCTAACCAATCACGCCCTGAAAAGATCAGATCACTTCTCCTGAAGGGACTACCATAGCCGGGTTTAGGAGCTTGAGAAGGACGCGTTTCGTGGAATGCTGAATAGTGCTGTTGTTGCTGTGGCAAAGCGGTGCCGCAAACTGTCATATAGTTTGATTGATGTTCCATTTTGGCAGATTTCGACAAGGCTGCATTGCCTTATATAGTTTGATTAACATTTTATTTCTACCTAATACCTATACCAGTAATGCAAATTAATAGATCATGTGTCTCTTTAATTTCATTATTGGTGCCAACATTGTTTCAAAAACCTTTCTTATGGGAGTAACATAGTTTTATCATCCATAGCAAATTAATAAATCATGTGTCTCTTTTAACTTCGTTATTGTTGCTAACATTGTTTCGAAAACCCTTCTTATGGGAGCAACAAATTGGATTAACATAGTTTTGTCACCCGTAGCAACGCACGGGCATTGGCTAGTAATCTACTAGGAGTCTAGGACGACATAAAAGCAGCTAGTACTCAGAAAAAATTACAAAATAGAGTAATTGCTTTCTGAACAATTTAGCAGAGCAAGAATATCCTTAGGAGCATTCTCTGCAAAGGCAAAGTTCTGGGAGCACTATGCAGTGATAAGGGATCAGTTGAGTTAATGAGTACTATGCCTAAAATCAGTTGAGGAAAACATGTTCAGATAATGGATTTAATGCGCGCACTATGCAGTGATGCAGTGATGCTTGTAAGTCAGTATTCAGAATATGCAGATTACCAAACGGCTCGTCTTTTGACTGATGTCATAGGAGATTTTAGGGGTTGACAAACACACTCTTGTTTCCAGGACAGGAAGCTTCTTGCAAGAGAACAAAACAGTCACAGCAACATCTTTAACTCTCATTTTTCTTATCTTTTTTTTTTGTGAGGAAACTCTCATGTTCATGCTGTAAAAAGTAGTCGCAATGTAATGTTTTGTGAACACAATAGGGTGCTAGGCAGTGTGTCAGAAACCAAACCATCAATAGATGCACGACGGCGCCAAGCCCCATCCTAGATGCAAGATGCAGGGGAAACGCCGTGGAGGCGCGCGTCGGGTGAAGAGGCGGCGGCGGATCTCGCGCCGGTTCTTGCGCGATGGAGAGGCCGTGGATGGCTCGACCGCTTGAGTTGGTGACCTGCGGCAGCGGCGCGGTGCTGCTGCTGAGCGGTAGGTTCGGAGGCGGCGCTGGGATGGGGACTCAAACCACGGCCCGGAGCTTGAGGGCTGAACCGCTGACCGGACCGGGCGGCGCTAGGCGGCTAGGGGAGAAAGAAAGCGTTCTGAAGAGGAGGGATTTTTAACTTTTTTCCCTTCACGAGGGATAAGCTCTTCTACGTTTTTAACATTTTTTTGCTGCATGCCACGTCGGTGACCACGTAGCAGTGAGCCTTATTAAAAAAAGCCCCTGTGCAAACCTTATAGTCAAATCTTCTCCTACTAAGTCATTCTTGAAGCCGCCTTTGTCTTCAACCTCCTGCCATCACCCAGAGAGGGAAGGCGAGGAGCTCATGCAATCCCGCATAAATTTTTGAATCGACCTCCTCGTCATGACTTGTCAGTCAAAAAGCGTGTCAAACGCCCATCCATTTAATTTGACGGGGCGGATTGAGTACAAATCGAAAATACACCAAAGCTATGCACGCGACACGCTACCGCGACGTCATCCTTCATTGAAGCCGGCCATCCGGAGAACGAGTCACGGAGATGGCGCAGAAGAATCGCCGACGGCGAAAACGGACACCGCAACATCCACGCCGCCGCCTCGCTTCCTCCTCCGCCGCCACCACCGATAGCGAAGAAATGCGTAGGAGTCGGTCGGGGCTGCATCGCACGCACGCGCCGCAGCAGAGCGCATCGCGAAGCGCCGCGTGGTCGCTACCACCAGACCGCATAGGTGACGAGCTAGGCGGCGGCGACTCGTGCGTGTTGCAGGTCTCCGCCCACAGCACCTCGAACTCATCGAGCTCTTCCATTGCCATGGCAGAGATGGCCAATGGGCAGAGCACAAGAGCACCGAGCGAGTGTGGCAGGAGCCGTACTTATTTGGTAGTCGTGTCTTGAAGCTTAGAATCACGACGGATTTCGGCGAGCGCGCGACGACGTCTGTTGGCGAAGCGACTCCGGGTCGCGCTCGTGAAAGGCGCTGCGACGAGTGGGTGTGGATCCTGTTGTTTAAGGCGCGGCGAGACTGACGAGCTTAGCGTTTCAAATGATGGCGATGGGAGGTCGAGGAGGGCAAGCAAAGCGGCCGAAGCGGATCGACGAGTTCTTCCTCTCTGCGTGGTGATGGCGTGAGGTTGAAGATGAAGCTGACGTGTGGTGTCCACGCGTCAGCGAATGGTGAGAGAAGCTGCAGGGGTAAATATGTCATTTCGCATGCTCCACCTGGCGTGACATGTCAGCAAAAATAGCAAAAACGTAGGAGGTTCACTATTTACAATGGTAATTATGTAGAAGCGCGTATAAAACTGGTAAACGAAGGAGTATCGTCCGTAAGGATGGCCAAAAGTTAAAAATCCCTTAAGAGGACGATAGCCAGGATCCTTTCCACACGATCCATGGGCTCGGCCCTCTCTCACGGTCCACACGCACTGATATGGGTCAAGCTAAGATCCGATCCATTAGAACACAGCTGTTGCTAAAAAAAAAATAGAACACAGCTCAATCCGATCCATTATAAGATCCGTAAAAAGTGTCCCATTAAGTTGAGAGCCCGTACGGTCCTCGGGGCTACACAGCCCATTATCAGGCCTAGTTATACATACGGGCCGTGGTCCTAGGCGTTGCCCAAAACTCCAGTTAGAATTGCCCTATAGGCGTGGCTGAGCCAAGCAAGAAAGGCTGGACGGACTGTGTCGTGTCGGCCCCCCGATCTGCTGGGCCAGCGCTCGTCTGCCGCCGAAGCAACGTTACTGCCACTGACAAGTGGGTCCGTAGCGCACGTGTACTCGAACGGTCAAAGCCAGCACCAAGGAAAGGAGGCAGCACGGGGCAGTCGGCTCTCCCGGGCAAGGACAAGGGTCGCCGGCAGCACGGTTGATGAGGGAGTTGGATCCACGGCGGCGGAGGTGGGGAGCTCGCCGGCCTCCGCCGGGCGGAGGACGTAGAGGCCTCTACGTACAGCTGTATCTTCACCCCCATTCACTTACTCGTACTTTTTCAGTCAACGGACAGTTTTTTTTTCTCACAATAAATTAGTCAACAGTACTTTCAGCCATGGCTTATCAACCACTTATCGACGTTTATTAACCAACCCCGTGCGCCTCTGCGGCGTCGACCTGCAGCTGGTATACAAGGGAACGAAAGAACCGGAAGTGGGGTGGAATGGAAATGGCGACCAGAAGGAGCGAGGGCACCCGGCCTCGTCGCGTGTGTTGGCAACAGGAAGTACGGGAACGGTAATACAACCAGCTGTCCAGCTGACAGTGCCTACTGTTGCAGTTCGGCTATGGATAGAAGTTGCCATTGAGGAGAGGCCATGGACGCGTGAAGGTGAAGTGGTCCAGCTCCTAGGGAAGTGGCGTGCCATGAATGGCTGCGCCGTGCTGCTGGTGCCATGAACCGTGGCGGCGAGCAGGAAGGCCACGGTTGTTATGCGAGAGAGGCGCTCTAATTTTTGCTGCTGAGACTCCGTGAAGGAACCGGGTAACGCTCGTAGGGGAGGGGCAACAGAGTTCTACTACTGGGTCAGATCGATTTACGCTGCGATCATTACAGACCAATCCATCTAAACATAAAAACAGTGTTATGCATTCACGCCGGGAATCGTTGGCGGTCTAAAAACGTCGAAGCAAACAGCTCCCTAGTACTATCAATATTAAAAACAGCATTTGTAGAAGCTTGTGCTTACCCTGCACATGCTTTGATTCAGCTGCTGGTGATGTCGATGGGCCGTGACGGGAACGCGTGATGAGTTTGTTTCAGCCGCGACCGTCAACAAGCACGGGAGAACAATGACCATTAGGATTGGGATCACCATCTCTAGGCACGCCATGGCAGCGCGACAACAGAGAGCTCGAGCGATTTATGGTGTCAGAATGGAGATGTGTGCTTTGTGTTGTTCTGGTCTGGCCGTCAGTGCAGCTAGCTGCCTCTGCCCCGCCGCCGGCGATAGGATGCATGGACTTTATGGACAATCGTGTGGGCCAGCCGCGCCGAGTGGTGGGGACTTGGGACAAATCACTCTTAGTTAGTGCCAGTCCCAGCACCATCAAAACGTCACACGGCTAAATGAGATATACTCCAGAGCGTACTTTCAAAAAGAGAGAGAGAGAGATATAAGAGCGACTTGTTCTCGAGGCGGTTGCGGCCGCGGCCATGAAGCCTCGAGGAAGCTTCTTGCGGCGC